TTATTTATTTCTTACCTTTTCAAATCTGTTTTTATTGAGTCTATACAGGTTCCGTATTCCGTACATCTGCGCCTCTGTAGTAATTTTTTTTTTATTATTATTGTGTATAAATGCTATAGTGGCTATAGTTTTTTTTAAAATCTAAATTAGTAAAATAAAAAAATAATAAGGAATAGTGCATTAATGATTATTGTGAAATTTATCTAACTGGCAGGGTTTTTGACCTGCCACGACATAGTAATTCATCTGAAAATTATCATGCAACTCCGCGTCTTTTTACTAGTGCCATAATTGAAAAGTGAGACGTTACTCGGATATTTCCATACCAGAGACTTTAGTTAGCTCACCCCCAACAGTTCCATCTTCAACATTGTATTCTCCAATTCGAGTAACATTGCTGATTTTTAGCTCCTAATGACTCTGCTTTGATCCTTTGCAGGCGGCTAATGAATTGGATTCTTTAAAGTCATATATCAGGAACCGGTGGGGCAGCATTATTGAGGTCATTTTTTTGGTCACATTAGACTTTTTTATAAGAATTTAATCCGTGATTAAGAGTTTATAAATATAACATCAGGGCTTGCTTTTTGCAAAATGATTGATGACATCTTTAAAATTTTTATAAATTTATATCAGTTTGTAACTTGGGATACATGTAAATTTTCATAATGTAGTTAATAAATAAAAAATAAAGTATTTAAACAAATTATAAATAATACAATCAAATTTTATTACTCATGCTTGAAACAATGAATTATTTATCAAAACTTAAGCTACGTGTGGTATAAATTTAATGGGTTGTTATTATGTACAATTTGCATAATTAACAAAATCACGCATTCCGATTCGTTTGTTTAATATTAAGCATTGTATTTATTATAAATCCTCGGTTTAAACTGCAATTAAATTGAGGTTTGAGCCATCAGTTTATTATTAACATAGTAAACTGCCAGTCAACTAGTCAAATTAGCAGTTTATGAACCGAACCAGTCGGAGTGGCCTGTCAATATGTAGAAATGTTTTTACTAAACAAAAAACAAAAATGATATTTTTAATGCGATTTTTCATATTATAATATTTTTTTATGATTATTTTTTTTTAGCAAAGCTTGAATTCTATCTCCTCTACACATATCGAATAAACCTCTATCAAAGTTTGGCATGAGATTATATCATAACCCAAGTCAATTTCGATTTTTTAATATTAAAAAGTTGTAGATTAAGATTTTCGGAGGAATCGACACTGAATTTTTATTATTGTCATCGTTGTTGTTGCTACTATTGATCCGAAATTCTCTTGTTCGTTAAGCTCTTTCATTTAATACTATTTTTATGTCTGTAAACAAAATTGGTTTTATATAAATTTAATCTACATAGTAATAGTTTCGGGCCATCCAATGCTACGTTTGTAAGTGAAGATATGGTAGCATAAAGTGGTTGCAGATATTGTGATAATGGCTGTAGTAGTTGTTTTGCATTTGTTGCGATAAGATTAATCACCATCGTCGTATCATTGCCCTATAAAAAATCATACAGATTTCCATATGTTAAATACGAGATTTAGAAGTTTTTCCTTTTTTAAATTTAACATGGATTGCCGAATACTAATACTAAAACATATGGAATAAGTGTGGAATGTTGTTGCTATTATTGTTAATAAAAATTCCTGGATCTTGTTTGCAAATGTTGGTATTGAAACTTTTCCAAAAAAAAAAAATTTAGAAAGAAAACTTACAAGTATATTAAAATATTTAATATATGCGCGCGTCTATTTAAGAGAAAAAGTAATTTATTAGTACTACAAGAAAAATATTATACAAAGATTAATTTTAAAAATATGATTCGATCAATAGTTACAGATTCAAAAGAAACTACTTGCCATTTTGTATAAATGGAAAAATGGAGAATAAACATATGTAATCTTTTATTTGTATTTAAACATAAAAAGTGTAAGATTGCTGCTATATTGTTCATTCTTTTTCCATTTTTTCCATAAATTGTAAAGAAAGTTCTAATGATCGACGATGCAAACCTCTTTAAAATGATTTACATGCATTGTCTTGGCTGACGATCTAGCCAAAAACCCTATTATCGGAATAATCAGTCCCGTGTAGAAAATTGAATGCAGGCACAATTTTGTTGATCACCACCAAAAAAATTTTTTAACTAATACTAAAAGTTTTCAAATTGACCCGGATGTCCGTATAAAACGTGCTAGTATTGATATACTAATACAATATTGATATTTAATACTAATATGATATTGTAATATACTAATACTAATACTAATACAGTCAAGCCTCATTTTCAACGAATCCGTTGGTATTGATCACCAAAATTCGTTGTAAATGATTTTTTAATGATCGTCGTTGAGACATTTTCAAAGGTTTAAATCGTGAAGAATTTAAGAAATTTTAATTGCATCGGATTGTAAAGAATTTGATAAAAAAAAATCCACCTTTATTTATACAGGTTTCTTGATTTGTTGTTCGTGTTATTTTTTTATTTTTAATATTAATTGAACAATTTTATTATTGTCATCTTTTTTAAAATTCGTTCTAACGCGATTAGTACTATTTGAGCGGATGGTAATTTGAATAGTATTTGGCCTGACAAATAAAATTCATTAATACTAAAAGAGATCCATTATAAAATGTATTATTGTTATGAATCCTAGATCCAATAAATGTTTGGTTAAATATATGAAATAGTTGATAAAATAATTTTTTTTATTTTCAGATGTTTTCGCTTTTCCCAATTCAAAGGCTTAATAGGCCGAGGGACTATAAATCAGTCCATATAAGATTTTTGAAAATAGGATAAATGCTATAATTTAAACATATAGGGTATTCAGATTACTGTGATTTAAACAGTCAAGTATCCAACTCCAAACTCTATATAATTAAACCTTTAAAACGTATAAATAACGTTGTAATTTTCTTAACTTCATGTAATTATGATCTTATTTACTTAACTTTATATATATACATAATAATAAAAATTGTCCTTATCCTTGTCCTTGTCGTTTTCTTCGAATTTGTATCTTTGTAATGATAATAAACCTTCTTTAACAATGATTCATACTAATCTCATGTATAATTAATTTACATTTGTCTATTTTTATTATCGCTTTTTTTCTTTTTATTTCTATTTTTTATTTTTATTGTATATACCTGATTTGGTTATGCAGGGAGTGACAGCTAGAGGTTTGAATCGACTAAACTTTTTTTTGAACAACTAATAGTCGACTATTTTAATCGATTATTTAGTCAACTATTTTAATCGATTATTTAGTCGACTATTTTAATCGATTATTTAGTCGACTATTTTAGTCGATTATTTAGTTGACTATTTTAGTCGACTAATTAGTCGACTACTAATACTAATACTACTAATACTAATACTGATACCATACTAATATTATTATTGTCTGACCAATTACGATTTTTATCATTCAAAATGGAAAATTTCTATGCGGAAGAATATCAATACCATCAATGTGATGACGACGACAATATGTTGATGATAATTTTACATGCAAATGAATAAACACTTCCAATACAAGGTCCAATAGTTCATTGGCCTCAATTTCCAATGATTTAAGCGGTGGTTCCAGAAGACCTTTAAAAAAACGAATCGTAAACACATGGTTTTGTGTGGAAGCATTTGAAAAAGTGAAAAATTCAAATGGAAATTAGTTCGTAATTTGCAAATTAAAAAAAATAAAAATAAAAATAAAACGAAATATTATTATTATAAAAAAAAAATTTAGTCAACTAAAGAAAATTTTGACCAACTAGTAGTCGACTAAGGATTTTTTTGACGATTCCAACCTCTAGTGACAGCTAATAGGAAGAAACATGATCAGGATCTTGAAAGTTATACATGTCTAACTTGTTAAGTGGAGGGCACTTACCAAGAAGCGTGGTCAGCATATAATGGCGGAAGATAGTAAAGCAATGGATATATATTCGCAGAGGTCATAATTACACTTTAGTATAAGTTGTATATTGTTATAAACAATTATCCTTGTATACGATCTCACAATATCAGTTAGCACTTTGTACATGACTTAGAAAAATCAATTTGGTATATTGACAAATGCTCTCTGAAACTCTTGAAGAGCAATATAAAATACCGGTTATTAAATGTTGTGAATGTAAGTATTATATTCAAGGTATAAATTAACATTAGATGAAAAAAATCTGGATTTTTGGATAGTATACATATTCACATGAAGATTTTTTTAGGATTTAGTTGTTTCAGAAGGACAGCCTGGTTCCGGAAATGCAATTTCAAATAATTTTTTACAGCCGACATGTTTATTTTCCCATGAAAGGCCAAGCATCACACTTTCTTTGAATTTCCCAGATAGAATTTTCTTTTAAAACTGCCAAATATTATAGATTTTTCAAGAATACAAATCTGTGAATAAGGAATGTTTCATCCTTCACGGTATTGCATATACCAACAACAGTTACAATAAATTCAAACTTAGAAAACTCTCAACGCCATGACCACAGAATAAAAGCACAAACTATATTAACAGCCTTTGAGGTAAGGACGGATTCAAAAACCTTTTCAGTTTTTGCCTAATCTCTGCGAAGCTCGGCGTACTTAATCTACTGACAGAAGAATCCAGGTGTGTGCCTAATCTTCTGACAAAAGAAGTTCTGAAAGGTGTTCAGGGTTCGCCTAATCTTCTGTTAGGAGAAGTTTCTAACCAATAATTATCCAGAGAAGAAAAATTTTGAATTTACGCCTTATGGAATATTTTCTCATGACTCTTTTTTATCAGGGCCGACAAGAAAAAAAAGAAATCAATAAATTGCCTGCTCATCAAAACAGTTTGACCATATCATGATCAATATTTTACGAGATGCGAAATCAGTCCAAAAACAATTAATTACACCGCTAATGCCATGCATTTCAAAGATCGTAATCTGTACGGTTCCACTAACGTGGTTAATCGCAACATTTGTAATGCTCTATATGGCAGAATCATTGCACAAGAACGCTATCAATTCCTAGTGCGGTGGGAACAGCTGGTATAGGTAATAAAATCACTTTATGTTTATCTTCACAAGATAATACCAATTATTGCCACCATCCAATAGATTATGTTACTAGCAAGACACGTTCTGGGCAAGACTTTTTGCAACATCAGTGACACCATCAACCGAATGGACAAAAATGATCTTTAACCTACATATGAAAAAAAAAAAAAAAACCCACTAATTTTATTCCTTATTGTAATAAATAATAAAAATAATAATGTTTACATACCGGAAAGATAGCACCCAATTTTTAAAACCATGTAATATTAATATTAACAGTTGTTTCAAATGTTTTTGGGGTGCTATCCTTCCGAACTTTACAGTAATTTACATAATATCATTTATAACGTTTATGAATGTTTATGATAAAATTTTCTATTTTTTCTTGCTTGGTCCAAAAATACGCCATCGCGATTTGTATCTATAACAATTAAATCGTTTTTTAACAATTTCTAATTTATGATAATTCCCATTTTCGTCATCAACGAAAATCAATTATCAAAAAATTTCTAATAATAATACATAATAAAATTACAATTCTAAATTTATTAGTGCTTCACGAATTTCGCCAGTTCCTTTAACTTTAGCTATAGCCTTTATTTCTGTCTCACCAAAACGTAAAATTATTTCAACGCAACGTTTATCATCCACATCATCATCATCTAAATTATCTTGGTTGTTGTCACTACTTGATGAAGATGCTCCATTTGAATTGTTTGTATTTGGATTTTCAGGTAAATCAACTTTAATTTTTCCTAATTCTCTCATTCCAGGTTCATCATAAAATTTAGGATTACGACTTAATGTTTCAAAAATTTGGATAGACACGGTTTTCGAACTAGGATGTAATGGTGAACCAATAACAGAAAATTCTTCGTCGACATCAACTTTAGTACCACGAGTTACAAGAGGATGAAAATTCGGAACTTTCGTATCAAGTATGACCTCGGATAAAAATACAGTCAACAAATCACCCTTGAACATTTTGACACCATAAGTTTTTTTCAAAACTCTATTTTTAACACACTTCATATTCAAACCATATTCCACTGCGCCTTTAACAACAGCTATCATAGGATGACGAGGCACGGAAATATTCTTGACTCGATCGTGAAATTCTTTTTTGATTACATTTTGTAAATATCTCGATTCACTGAATCCACCAACCAAGAACATCGCAGAACATTCTTCTACATGTTCTAATTGTTTATCTATCAATCCAATAATTCTATTTATAACAGGATCAAAAAATGATTTCATATGATGAAATTCCAATGTGACTTGCCATTCATCCACTTCCAATCTATTTTTCAACAAATCATCAGTGATATAGTCGATTAACAATGGTGCATAATCTTGTAGGTCAAAGTCGATCACGTCAAATTCATTTTCGTTGCCATTAAATCGATGTTTTTCTTTATGAAAAAATTCATGAATCATATATTGATATCGACCATAATGGTTTTCTTTAAAAGATTTCAAGGCATGGTGTCCTACTTTTTGACCAAGGAATTTAGCAAATTCTTGATCAACAAAGACTCCACCACAAAAATCTCCTGAACGTTCTGTTTTTTCTTCTAAACTATTATCATCTAATAATTGACGAACTGTCAGGTCTACTGTTCCGCCACCACAATCTACAATTAAAAATGATTCTAACAAAAAAAAAAATATTAATTACCAATTCTTAAATAAAAATTTTTCTTTGAAAAAATAAATTATTATAAAAAACATTTATTTACTTCCATAAGGAACTTCGAAATGTTCACCCAAAACTTTTCTACAATAAATTGCAGCGGCTTCAGCTAAACATGTTATTGTATAGTGTATAATCCAGTAAGCAATTAATATTACGCACTCATATACATGTAAATCAATAACATTAAAAAGAATCACACAATACACATACGTTCAGTTGTAAGTTGTAAATTCTCGCTGTGTAATTCGTCAATTAATTCTGCCTTGAATACACATTCTCTCATAATAAATTTTGCTTTATCAGTAAATTCCTAATAATAATGATGATGGTGGTGATGATGATGGTGATGATAACAACAAAAAAAAATTTTTTTTTTTGAAAAATAAGTGCATCCGTATAAAAAATAAAACTTACCGCTGGCACAGTTAAAACTATTAAGACATTTTCGAAAAAGTTTAAATTATCCCATCTTCTTTGAACGGTATCTTTAATTAGCTGACAATATATAAAAAAAATTTTAGACTAAATTATAATAATAATAAAGAAATTGTACTATATTTATTACCTTGGCTAAATAATTATTGATGTTGTTTTTATAATTAGCAAATTAATGAATTAATGAATTAATCCACAAATTGTTAATAAAACACAAACCCATTTCACCCAAATAATCAGAAACAGCTTTTTTATAATTGAAACTATTCTGTGTAGAAACTTCGTTTAATCTTGATTCCAAGTTTTCTGAAGTTTCTATATCTCTTCCTAGATGCAATTTAAATAATTCAACAGGTCTAGCATCTTTTGAGTCATCGTTACGTCTTCTCGTTTTTTTATTGGCCAAGGCTTTATAACCCCATAATTTAACTTTATCGCCATTTTCATCATACATCAATACTGTGTTGATTTTAAATTTGTCGATTGCGCCAGCCCATGTTGCGTCTGCTGGCCAATTTTGATTTGTTTCAATGTCAGGGTTTACTTTATGCGAGTACGCAAATCCCTGCAGTTAAAAGAAGAATAATGATAAAAGATAAGTTGACAAAAACAATCATTGTAAGTACGACTATTTACCGAATAGGTTGTTCCGAAATCTAATTATTTTTTTAAAAAGTGAGCATTAGAATATTATCGTAATCGTTAATTAATATTTCGTCCGACAAAAAATGGCAAAAAATAATATTTTAATAAATTTTGTACCTATTCCAACTACAACACGAATATCGGACATTTTTTTGTTTAAAAAAAAAAATTTAAGACACGTAAGAAAATGTTGTGTGGGAAAAAATAAAAAATTTTAGTCATTTATTATGCTCGAACTTTCTATATTTTTTCTCATTTGGCAACAATGAAATTTCCCAAATGGGATAATTGAGACAAGTTTATTTTATTAATTAATCCTTTTTTTAATAATTTGTGTGTGACGAAAATAATGTGGCGACAAAAGTTGCATATCTCAACAAATATTTAAAGATAGATGAAGGTGGGTTTACACGATCGCAAAGCATAATTAAATATTGCCAATTTTTTGTAATGCTAATCTTACAAATTTTTGACTTGAAAATTTTGACGTTAAATTTTTTTAATAATTATTCTAACGCGTAATCATTATACAAAAAAAAAAAAAAATCAGATTGTAGCTTAAGTCCTGAATATTTTGCATATAAAATTACATGCTTCTATATTTTTGGAACTTTGTCAATTAAAATAAAAGGAACTCGGTTATTTTTGAAAAAAGTATATAAAACCTTGGATCAGGCAGCCATCATCCTGCTTATGTTCAATAGTACTCATTTTTAGGCATTTCAGAATTATGTTCAACGGTACGAAAGGAAATATTCACTTCGTGATGTATTTTTCCTTGATGAATGAGCATTGTCAGACCAGTATAATGTAATGTGAAACATTTTGAAGTTAGACCTCAATCTTCGTGTAACACGTGATTGTAAGATAGAAAATAGAAGCCTTTTATTTTATAAATGTCTTCAATGAGAGATAAGAAAGCCGGTAAAGATAGATAAACAAAACATTTTATTGTTTGTTATGCAAAATAATTTTGTATCATGAACCACCATTATTTTCGTTACACGCTGTAAATGATATTAATCTTATTATTTAAAAGATAGAGAGGTTCGTGTTATATTAGTTAAATTCCTATTTTATTTACATTACTTTTAATTGCTTTCTTTTTTGCTAATATATTATAACATTTTTTTTAAGTGAGATATATTCATCGTTACTTGAAAACTAGAAAAAGTGCGTGCATTAGAGCAAAACTTGCTATTCCAGAATATCCGCAAAAATTTTTGAAATGCATCTAAATTTAAAAGTGAAACGTATTACACCAAGACATCTAGAGCTTGCTATACATGTGATATACATTGATTAAAGCTACATTTGCTGTTGGTGGTTTGCCACCAGTACATACTAATATCTATATCATATATCTATAATCTACCCTATTACTAATTATTCTTGAATAGCAAGCATGACTTTTAAATAACCCAAGCTCAAAAAAGAAGCCAGCTTCATAATTTCATAATTATAGGAAATTTATTTAATTGGATAGGGCAAAAAACAAAAACTTTTACTCAAAACATTGCTATCATTAGTATTAATATATTTTTGAAATATATAGTAAAGCAAAAAAAGAAATCTATCACCATTAATATATTATGGCCAGTCCAGTAAGAGCATTATTAAATCTGGCGTTAGACTCCATTGATAAATTTGATGTTGTTGATGAATGATGTAAATGCCAGCTCACAATATTGTGGCAGAACTTAAGTATACAAAAAGGGTCGGGCGGGAAAACTAAAGGGCGTTCTACACTTTAAAAACGTTACCAGGTCAGGTATACAAAGACACATGACTGCAGAGGCCATATGATGCTGCAAGCTACCACTTTTGGTGATTGTGCACGACCAAGGTGAGGTCACATTGCTTCTTCAAGTATTTTTTACTTCAACTCGAAAAGCAAGCTTTAATTACCCACCTGGTTGATAAAGGATCTTGTTTAGCAATTTTTAGCTTGATAATTAGGAATGATGATTACATGCTTTGCTTTACCTTCGGGTGAATAGAGTGGCAAGTATAATTTTGATTGACGTATGACAAACCTTCATTGTATATTTGATATAATTTGTGATTTGTTTTAGTTTGTATTTGTATTGGTAATCATTCGAATAATTTATGAAATAAAAGTTCGCTTATTTCAAACATAGTTGGGTGTGTAGTTTGAAGAAGTTTCCATTTGAAAATGTATTAGTGGTTCCAGGAGTAATTTCTAACGTAATTTTTATATTAATTTTGATGATGAGTCCATATACGGCTACCATTACATATTCATATTTTAGCAAAAAGCCACCCACTAATGTCAAGTGAGAGAGTGAGATAACTAATATCGCTAATATTAATATTAATTATAATAATCGGATTGATGGTTTATCCGTAATTTATATAAATATTAATATAAAAAAAGAAAGGTAATTTGGGCTTTTTTTTTTTTGATATTTACAAGCAAACAAGCTTGCAGATATATAATAAATAAATCTTTATATAAAATTTTCCTTTTCTCTTTTTCTTATACTTGGTTTTAGATTTATGTTTAGCTTGTAAAGCTTTCTTGCTTCAGGTTTTTGTTTACATTTACGTGAATAGCGTCGTCTCATGAAGCATCTATAACACCACGTGACGTTTTACAGTAGGTCTTTTTTAATTATAGACACACCTACCTGATCTTACATGGATTTGCTGAACGTAGATCAATATTTAATTGAAAAAAAAAAATTTAAAATAATATTATTCCTTAAACGGTTAATCGGCTATTGATAAACTAAAATTTTTCTGATTCTAAGCATATCACTTCCTAATATGAAAATGATCTATGAGATATAGCCGATCGGTCTGTAAAAAAGAATTTGGGCTATTTTTACTTTGCTGATTGTTAAATCGACCAATAATAATACGAAGTCGTGATTTTGTATTACCATTAAAGAATATCGCGGGAACAATTATATTTTTATAATTGATAGTAATATTTCTCGTTGCTCTAGAAAATAAATCTTTTAAAATACACCATGCGGTTGATTTGCCATTGTTTTTAAAAGATATTTTTTTAATATTCGCTAGTTTTATAACTAGTGATTTTAATCATGAATATTCGAATATTTGGCAAATTAGAAATGATATGTTAATATGGACAAAAGCCGTGCACACCTTTAAACATACATAATAAAAAATTAAAAAAAAAATAACATTTGTTCGTCAAATTATGCATGTAAAATTTCACTTCTCTAGCATTTTTATTAAATTATTAAAAACAACTTATTATTCAAAAATATACATAATAATAATAAATAAAACGGATTTATCAAAATGCTGCCCAATCGTGTTTCGGACATCTTTTTGTTTTATTAATACTTTTTATCTTAGAATTTTTATTTATATTAATTTTAAAAGAAAAGAAAGAAAAGATTAATGTCACTTTTTGACCAAGTGAAAGAACAATCAATCAACAGTTTAATTAAAATTTTACTGTATATTAATCTTGGTTATAAGAGTAGATTAGAATTTATAATAAATAATAATACAAATACTTATTCAAATTGTTTGTAATTCGTTTTATTAGAATGTTGTTTAACATGTGCACGACTTTTGTTATTATTTTTTCGTTTAATGGATGAAAGCTGTTATTACCAGTATTGGAAATTTTGTCCAATTGGACATACATCCAGTCGGACATTAATTGGACCAGATCCAATCCCAACACTGGTTATCACATTACGGAAATATTGATGTTGGAGAAATAGTGTTTAACATCACTATTTAAGTAGCAACATGCAATATGATTATGAATGCATTTGACATAACAAATAATTGCATCACCAAGTAATGATAATATATCAAGACCATGCATTAATGAAAATTTAAGTCACATAATAATGTGCATCTACCCAGATCTCTGGGTTCGTGAAAATAAATAATATTCTCAACATTGATTTTCTTTCTCAATTATACAATTACAAGCCGTAGGGCTTGCTAAAAATATTCAATAAAATCACAAATCTGATATTTATTGTAAGCAGGGTTGGCATTGACATGTTCAAGGTTCATTGACTTGGTGTTCTTGATGATGGTGGCTGATTTGGGGATGATTTGGTTCAAGTGGTTGATATCATTTGAATTGATGATTGAGAGATGGTGGAGTCGGTGTTGGTCATTTATGTTATCCTGTACCTGTAGTTTCGAATTCACCACCATCTTATACACCTCAATCAAGCAACACCACCATGATCATAGGTTTCAGATTTGATAAATTTTCCCTTCACAAACATAGCAGTTGGGTGCTCATAACTGTGTAATTTTTTAAAAAGTGAGCATTAGAATATTATCGTAATCGTTAATTAATATTTCGTCCGACAAAAAATGGCAAAAAATAATATTTTAATAAATTTTGTACCTATTCCAACTACAACACGAATATCGGACATTTTTTTGTTTAAAAAAAAAAATTTAAGACACGTAAGAAAATGTTGTGTGGGAAAAAATAAAAAATTTTAGTCATTTATTATGCTCGAACTTTCTATATTTTTTCTCATTTGGCAACAATGAAATTTCCCAAATGGGATAATTGAGACAAGTTTATTTTATTAATTAATCCTTTTTTAATAATTTGTGTGTGACGAAAATAATGTGGCGACAAAAGTTGCATATCTCAACAAATATTTAAAGATAGATGAAGGTGGGTTTACACGATCGCAAAGCATAATTAAATATTGCCAATTTTTTGTAATGCTAATCTTACAAATTTTTGACTTGAAAATTTTGACGTTAAATTTTTTTAATAATTATTCTAACGCGTAATCATTATACAAAAAAAAAAAAAAATCAGATTGTAGCTTAAGTCCTGAATATTTTGCATATAAAATTACATGCTTCTATATTTTTGGAACTTTGTCAATTAAAATAAAAGGAACTCGGTTATTTTTGAAAAAAGTATATAAAACCTTGGATCAGGCAGCCATCATCCTGCTTATGTTCAATAGTACTCATTTTTAGGCATTTCAGAATTATGTTCAACGGTACGAAAGGAAATATTCACTTCGTGATGTATTTTTCCTTGATGAATGAGCATTGTCAGACCAGTATAATGTAATGTGAAACATTTTGAAGTTAGACCTCAATCTTCGTGTAACACGTGATTGTAAGATAGAAAATAGAAGCCTTTTATTTTATAAATGTCTTCAATGAGAGATAAGAAAGCCGGTAAAGATAGATAAACAAAACATTTTATTGTTTGTTATGCAAAATAATTTTGTATCATGAACCACCATTATTTTCGTTACACGCTGTAAATGATATTAATCTTATTATTTAAAAGATAGAGAGGTTCGTGTTATATTAGTTAAATTCCTATTTTATTTACATTACTTTTAATTGCTTTCTTTTTTGCTAATATATTATAACATTTTTTTTAAGTGAGATATATTCATCGTTACTTGAAAACTAGAAAAAGTGCGTGCATTAGAGCAAAACTTGCTATTCCAGAATATCCGCAAAAATTTTTGAAATGCATCTAAATTTAAAAATGAAACGTATTATACCAAGACATCTAGAGCTTGCTATACATGTGATATACATTGATTAAAGCTACATTTGCTGTTGGTGGTTTGCCACCAGTACATACTAATATCTATATCATATATCTATAATCTACCCTATTACTAATTATTCTTGAATAGCAAGCATGACTTTTAAATAACCCAAGCTCAAAAAAGAAGCCAGCTTCATAATTTCATAATTATAGGAAATTTATTTAATTGGATAGGGCAAAAAACAAAAACTTTTACTCAAAACATTGCTATCATTAGTATTAATATATTTTTGAAATATATAGTAAAGCAAAAAAAGAAATCTATCACCATTAATATATTATGGCCAGTCCAGTAAGAGCATTATTAAATCTGGCGTTAGACTCCATTGATAAATTTGATGTTGTTGATGAATGATGTAAATGCCAGCTCACAATATTGTGGCAGAACTTAAGTATACAAAAAGGGTCGGGCGGGAAAACTAAAGGGCGTTCTACACTTTAAAAACGTTACCAGGTCAGGTATACAAAGACACATGACTGCAGAGGCCATATGATGCTGCAAGCTACCACTTTTGGTGATTGTGCACGACCAAGGTGAGGTCACATTGCTTCTTCAAGTATTTTTTACTTCAACTCGAAAAGCAAGCTTTAATTACCCACCTGGTTGATAAAGGATCTTGTTTAGCAATTTTTAGCTTGATAATTAGGAATGATGATTACATGCTTTGCTTTACCTTCGGGTGAATAGAGTGGCAAGTATAATTTTGATTGACGTATGACAAACCTTCATTGTATATTTGATATAATTTGTGATTTGTTTTAGTTTGTATTTGTATTGGTAATCATTCGAATAATTTATGAAATAAAAGTTCGCTTATTTCAAACATAGTTGGGTGTGTAGTTTGAAGAAGTTTCCATTTGAAAATGTATTAGTGGTTCCAGGAGTAATTTCTAACGTAATTTTTATATTAATTTTGATGATGAGTCCATATACGGCTACCATTACATATTCATATTTTAGCAAAAAGCCACCCACTAATGTCAAGTGAGAGAGTGAGATAACTAATATCGCTAATATTAATATTAATTATAATAATCGGATTGATGGTTTATCCGTAATTTATATAAATATTAATATAAAAAAAGAAAGGTAATTTGGGCTTTTTTTTTTTTGATATTTACAAGCAAACAAGCTTGCAGATATATAATAAATAAATCTTTATATAAAATTTTCCTTTTCTCTTTTTCTTATACTTGGTTTTAGATTTATGTTTA